AACACCTCAGTGAAACGCGTCAGGGTGTAAGCGGAGGTTATGGAACGGAGGATGCCTGGTTGTCGAGGCACCAGGAGACAACGAAGACGTGACACAAGGTGTTCAAGATTTGTGTCCTCATCCCCGACCGCAGCAGGGTAATGTGAATTCATGAGAGTGGCAGAACGCGAAAGAGAGGCTGAAGGAGGTGGATACAAAGTCGATTGTCTCACCGATCCTGTGTAATTGTAGCTCAAAGTTTTGGGCTAACCTGATTATGGTAAATATGACAACCATCTCCGACTGACCTGAAACATCCAGTGCTTCCGCGAATTGGATGAAAGTCGCCAGTGGAAGTTTCCTAGATTGAGAAGCTTCTGAGCCACCCGAAGCTGACAGCGTAATCGACAATCGAAGGGTTAGAAGCGGAAGACTTAGGATGTATGGCTGCGGTGACGTGTTTTTGCTCATGAAATTGATAAAATTCTACAAAGTTGGGTGCAACCTCAATAAATGTGAGCGGAAGAGAGTAGTGGAGGTGAGATAGGGGTAGAGGAGAGACTAACCTGCATTAGATAACAAAGGAAGGAAGAAATGGAGTTGATTTCCTCCTCCGAACAAGCAGAAGGCAATGGAAGGCGAGTGGAGAGGAGAACAAAATCGATTGTAGCCGCTGCAAGTCCTGCCAGTTGACGCTGTGACACGTCCAGAGCACACTCTACAGAGGTTGGTACCAAGTACATGCGGGACGACCAAACAGATAAAGGAAGGTGTCAAAAATCGCCTACCCCTTTTATTGCCTTCCTGAGAGAAAATTACGAGTCTTTTGAATAGAAGTTCCTTCCTAAAAATGAAATAGTGGATGTCTTCACAATCTGCTGTTATGCCCGTGACTACTTTGGCGCCAACATTGTTGCAGTCTCAGAAGGAGATGGACTGCCAGAAGCCATATGGTGCACTACAGCATGCGTGTAACGCCGAACTTGGATGAATAAAACTGGCATGAGGAAAGACAACGCTATCTGTACACGGAGGCACAAATTGATGAACGCGTCCTCCATTTCATCCAACTAAGATTGGAGTCATTTTCAATACTTTAGGATTAAGACACCACTATTCATCGTTCATGGCTGTGGAATACCAATTCAAGGAAGCTGGAACTGGACGATCGTAATGCTGTACTACATGATTCACGTCTTAAAAATGAAAAAAAAAATCATTTGCCATTCAGATATCCATTTAATCAAGCATTGCCTACCCCATTTGCCACATGGGATCAGTCTCAAAAGTTCTCACATCGACGTTATTGAATCGCTTCATTGTCTCCACAAAACCCAGTCGAATGATGTGTTGAAGAAGTCGTGGAGGTATCTCTTCGGGAAGGTTAACACCCCTCCCACAGGACCTCAACTGAATTAGTTTGGCTGCCAATCGTCCAGCATCTTTTGCGGAGACATGCAAGGATTTCTCCAGAACACCTTCGATTAGGTTCTCCACGAAGTGGCTTTCCTGGTTCGGAGTTGCTACTCCGTTGTCAACATCTTGTGAAAAACGAAGACGTAGATTGGTTAGAGCATCGGGAAATTCACGAGTGTAGAAAGTGGTGGTGGGTGGATCGAGGGAGGCAAGAAATGCGGTCATGTTCTCTGAAATGTCGTCCACCTACGAGGAAGATGGAAGTCAAATCGATGCCTTAAATGGGTCTAGCCTAGACAGTTTTTCTCAAGTTGATAGCCCTTAAATACGAAAGTCACCATCTCTAAGCTGAGTATTCACAAAATATTACCGCCCTCACAAACCTTGAATTCACCGATTTCACGAAGGCAAGTGGCCAGAAGAAGTTCCATCTCCCTTCTAATAGCAGGTAATTGGAAGAGAAGGCCTTGGGAAGTTGGAAAAAACCACTTCTCGAATGAGGGAAGGAGGGAAAACAGGACAGATTTTCTATCAGATTCATGAGCAATCAACCTTGGGAGGTCTTGCGTCAGCTTCTTCAAGTCTTCAAGCAGTGCCACAGCTTCAGTGGGATTCTACAAAGACTCGAAGGTGGTTTGGAAACTGTAAGGTCAGGACTTATGAAAACAGAGAATGGATTATTTGCAATGTGAGGAAAATCAGTACCCTAATCAGCTGGAAATATTGCCGTTGTTCTTAAATATCGCGATTCCCGAAAAGCTCTAACCCCGAATTCTCTAGCCGATA